GCTGCCACCCCGAAGGCTGTGCTTCCGTGCAGGCTCCCTCACCCGTGAGCCTGGCCTGCAGTGTCTCCCACTGATCTCCATCAACCCACACTCTGCAGCGGTGCAGCCGTGCTGATGGACCTGTATTGTTTTTCTCCCTTGCACCTGACCTCATATGCCCTTGGATGATCCCCTCTTGCTGCCTGTGATCCATTTTGCCTTAATCCCCAGAGAACTTGTTTTTATTTGGTGATACTCCTAAATAGGTGTGAACTCGTCCTTTGACTCCTAATTCAGAATCTTTCACAGCTCAAGTTTTGCCTCTCAGTTAGAAAAGTGCCCAAAAAGAAAAGGGAAAAGGCCTGCATTAGCACATCCCTCTGGGCTGTTTGGGAGAGAGAAAGGGGAGTAGCTTCTGTGGAGCAGTCTGTGCACCTCTGCATCCTCTTGCCAATGGTGGGCTCCTCTAACCTTATGTTTCTGCTTTTCTTTCTCTTCTCAAGAAAGAGAAATCCAAATCAAGTAGCAGCACTGCCCGAGAACCCAATGGCTTCCCAGCTGACACATCTGCCAACTCCTCTCTCCTCCTGGAGTTCCAAGGTGAGTCTGTCTGATCCTCCTTCAAGCTGGGGAAAGATTCTGAGGCCTTATAGAAGCTGGGATGTTGCTGGTTTGCATATGCTATGTGCACTGAGGAAAGCAGCGTATGTATTCAGTGCAGGGTTGTGCTGATACACTTTTGGACAGTCCCTGCTGAAACTGTTCATTTTTGCTCTCAGAAAGAATCTTAATTGGCTGTTTCTGGGATCTTCCTATAGGAAGCTTCATGGGGAATTGGAGGAGTAGGGGTTCCCATTCCCATTTTGCAGTCCCTGCTGGGGAGAGGTCGGTAGCTGCCTGCAGCTGAGCCTGCTGCTTCCAGCAGTGACTTGCATGGACCTTAGGATGAAAGGGCAGAGGACCTCCTTGACCTTGCTCTTGGTCCTGGAGTACTGCAGCCAGCTGCGAGCAAGCCAGGCTCTGTGGTGGAGCCGAGCAAGGCTCAGGGAGTGTATGGACTCACTGCTGGAGCAGAGCATATGCCTGTCTCCAGCCTCGCCACTTGCCTGTTGGTGTGGCCAAAGAAAATTGGGGAATCTGTTGGCACTTCCAGTAGCTGGAGTGAGAAGGTTAGCATTGCAGGTCTGCAGGTCGGGACCGCTTTACCTGGAAAAGATGTGTGCCAGGATTGGCTCCCCATCCAGAGGCAGGTGCTGAATGTTGCTCCTGGTGTTAGATTGCTGCTTCACAAACAGAAGAGGTACAAAACCCTGGTACACAGGCAAGAGATCTCCTGCCCTCGAATGCCTGGGGCCCTCGCAAGCTGCAGACGTGAGATTTGGCAGCGCAGCGCTTTGTATCACCCCTGTGCCTTCTGCTCTTTCTTTCTGAACAGCCCAGGGTCGCTCTCTGTCTGCTCAGACTCATTCCCCAGACAGAAGCACCTTCTCTCCCAGGGGCCAGTTGTGTATCTCATGCCAGCCATGTCCTGGTGGGGAGTCTTGTGCCTGGCAGCCCTTATGTCAATGGATGACAGTGAATCCCCTGTACTCTTAACTGCCTCTGACTGTGCTCTTCCTTCTTCCTAAGACCCCGGCTCTCAGGGCTGCCCTCGGCTGCCTGTGCCCCTGGGTCAAGGTGCTCTCTTCACTAGGTGCTGTTTCTGCAGATGAGAACAGCAACCAGAGCTCCCTGTCGGACGTCTACCAGCTCAAGGTGGATAGCAGCCCCAACTCCAGCCCCAGTCCCCAGCAGAGCGAGTCTATGAGTCCTGCCCACACATCCGACTTCCGCACGGACGACTCGCAGCCACCCACACTGGGGCAGGAGACACTGGAAGGTGGGTGCTGGCCTGGGAAGGGAGGAGGTGGACGGCTGGGCCTGGGGAAGGCCCTGCCGGAGCAGTTGCTTGTCCAATGGGTGACTGAGGCACTGCTGGAAGTGGACAGGGCAGCAGGGGCTTGTGTCTTCTGCTGGAGGTCTCCTCTCGTGGCTCAGCACTGAGCTGGGTACTGTCATACTCCTGGGTCGGCAGTTTTGTTAACCCTTATGTTCTCCCCAGAGCCCTCCCTGCCTTCCTCGGAAGTTGCAGACGAGCCTCCCACTCTCACAAAGGAAGAGCCAGTCCCCCTTGAGACTCAGGTAAGGGAAGGGGGATTGAAACCACATCTAAATGCGCACGGACCCAGCTTGGCCCTTTCACCCTCATTGCTGCCCCTTGTAGCAGAAACATCTCGATGGATGGACTTGCTCTGCTGTCCCAAAGTGCCCTCCAGGAGCTCCCCAAACTTCCCAAGCTGTTCCCTGGTTCAGTTCAGGTCCAGTGTGAAGAAAAGATGTGGAGGTGGAGTAAAACAACGATTTTAGCCGACTCCAAGGCTGAAGTGGATTCTCATTCCTCGTGTCCTGGGGCTTGCTCACAGATGAAAGCCCTGGGCATCCCCACAGTGTGATACAGCCTTGCCTAGATCCACGTGGCTTGGTGGGTGCGCTGAGCTCCTGTCACTGCCCTTGACCTCTGCCTCTGACTCTTGCAGGTAACTGAAGAGGAGGAGGACTCTGGTGCACCACCTCTGAAGAGATTTTGTGCCGATCAGAACTCTGTGTGCCACACGGCCTCGGAGAGCTAGCTTGCCCATCCCCGGGGAGAGCGCCTTCGCCAGTCCCTCGCAGAGCCGCCCGCCCTCCCCTGGGGGCCGGGGGTGCTTCCTTCCAGCCTGCCCCTTCCCCAGGGACGGGCACTCCCGCCACTTGCGATCCAGCCTGCCCTGCTCTGCCCTGCTCTCGGGGACAGGAGCCTCCCGCCGGCCAAGGCAGCCTGCGTTCCCCCAGGGTGGATGGGGCTGCCACCAGTACCTGCACGTTTGCCTGTATTTATTGGCTCCCTCTCTCCCTGCTGACCTGTCCTGTAGCATGAGGGTCTCTGGCGGGTGGTCTGCATGCACAGGGGGACTTGTCCATGGGGCTCCCTGCTCTCCATGGCCCCTGAGGCACTGGCAGACACCTTCTGGCTCCCTTGCCTGCCCTCCCCTAGGGCTGGGAATGGGAGAGCCACCTTCCACCTGCACAAAGTGATTTGTCCGCTCCCTTGTGAGTGTAGGCAGGAGGTGGAGAGGCGGTGGGGGGAGAGGCCAAATCCTGCCCTGCTGTGGCAGGGACCTGCTGGGACGCTGTGCAATAAGCTGCTAGTTTAAGCCATTAGTGTTGGGAGAGATGGGAACGCTCCCCCCGTGGAGGGCAGGTACC